CAAAAGTACATGTGTGGCTAGTTGTATCCTCGTGAAATTGATGTAATATCGTATTTATCTGAATAAAGCTAAGTGCCAGAAACCTAAGTGGTCACCTTAATATTAAAAAAAAAAAAATATATATATATATATATATATATATATATATATGTAAGAACTTTCATGTTTCGCGTTTTAACTTTTACAACTTATAAGCTAGTAATTGCAATATCAATTTCATCTAGGAGGGGTGACAAAATTTTTTCCCCACTCAAAAAAAAATTTTTAAAAATCAACTATCAATCAAAATCAAATAAATTTATATTCATTTAAAAGCTTAAGCATTTCTCTATTTAATAAAATTTTTTAAAAAATATTATTACTATTAATATTGATCTAAACTTTGATAATGAAAATTATCTATTTTCAAATTTAAATCTCATAATTTTGAATATAATAATTATATTATTTTTTTATTGTAAATATATCTACAGTGTCCCAAAAATATTATATTATATGTTTTATTATTTAATTATTTGTAAAATTAATATAATATATAAAAAACAAAAATATATTAATTTTTTTAAAAAACTGCTTATATATCAAAATTTTATTAGAATAACTAACCTTTGTTTTCTAATTAAAAATGTTCTTTATACAATTTTATATTAAATATATTCAATTTAATAATTAAAAATAATTAAAAGATAAATTATAAAATATTTAAGTTAAACTTACAATTACGGCTTTTATATATATTATATATAAATAATAAATTTTAAATTAGTATAGCATTTGAGTTAGACCCAAATTCTGGCTTTTAATATATATTTTATATATAAACAAAAAAAATTTTAAGTTAATTAGTATAGTGAATATTTTAGACTTTAGATCCTGACTTTTAATATAAATATAAAAAGTTAGTAAGTATAATAGTTGAGATTGACCCAAATTCCAGTTTTTAAATATATAAATAATGCAAAAATATCCCAAGCCAGAGCCATTGGAATATTGATAGAAAGAAAGTTTTCACTTATATATATCGATCAGAGTATTTTTACTAAAATACCCTGTGATCTGATATATATAGTAATTGATAAAAACTACCCGGTATGTAAGTTAAGTATATAATTTATTTATAATATAATGTAAATAATTTATTTCAATAAAATTCTCTATTAATATTATTTTACTTATACACTGAATTGCTCTATATATAGTAAGTATTCAAAAAGCATAGATACAATTGGTTATGCTAGCTAGCCAAAGGTACCAGAAATAAATTTAATTAAGAGATATCCATAAGAACACAACTTATAGAAAATATTCTAACATCTAAATATTTGGCAATTTTTTGAAATGAATAAGCCTTCTAAATCTTTTTCAATTATTTTCTAGCGAAGCTGCTATCATTTTTCTGTATTCCCATATTCATCTACATAATATTTATATTAGTCACTTAATTTTAAATTACGTAGGTTATATAAACTTAATCAGATCAGCCCGAATATCGTTCGGTCAGTTTTTATCAGATGTTTTAGAAATTATAAAAATAGTAGTAAAGGACTTTAAGCCTGCAGAATATATTGTGAGTAATTTGAACTGAGTAATTTGAGCTAAGTAATTTAAATTGAAATGATAATATGCTCCTGGGAAAATTAGCAAGTGAGATTGATTATCAATATACTCTTTATTACTTATTAAATTTACAATATGCTTTAGTGTCACAGAGTTACCCAAACTACTGTGTATTTACTATCAATCCTCACTCATTTGGCTTAAATATAATAATAGGAATATTGTACCAGATACTACCACCAATATTGTATTCACACAGACAACAGTTTATTTACTAAGAATAACTCAAAAAGATATCGGAAACCAAAGTTTAGCATTTCATCTATTTTGATTAATATCTTATATTTATTACTAATTGCTATCGATTACTACATTGCTATACAATACTAATTGCTACATTGTTCATGCAATCACTATTTTAGACTTTTAATTAAATCGTAATCACCTGATATATTATGTATTAATTAGATTATGATGTTCAATCAATATGTATCCGATTACTAGTCATATAGGTACCACATAGCCCCGCAACAATTAGGATTATTATAAAAGAGCAAACATTATAAGGTAAAATTTCACAAGAAAAAAAAATTTGTTAGAGTATAAAAGATAGTTTACTATATAAATTTTTGACTTATAAGCAATTTTAAAAAACAGACAAATTTTTTACATTATTCCTGATCATGTTATATTACATTGATCATAATTGAATCATTGGTCAATTATTATATATGCGGAAAAGTCTTCTTATATCCTGATACTGTTTGCTAAGATGGTTAAAAAGACAAACTAAAAAGTGTAAATATAAAAAAAATATTTTTCAATTGCATACCTATCTGCCTTGTATATAGTATTAACACGACTAGACATGCTATTGATAAGATTGTGAAAAGTTTCTAATAAAATTGCAGCCTACTCCTCACGGACTATTTGTTCTAATTTTCAAAGACTACTAAAAAGAGAATTTCATTTATCAAGATTCTGGTCAATTATACTCTATAAATTTTCTATAGGGTTGAGATCTGGACTTTTAGTAAGCCAAGAAAATATTCTAATATTTTTCCTGTCAAGAAATTTAATTGTAACTTTAGAAGTATATACAGAAGCTCCATCATGTTGATAAATTCCATCTTTAGAAAATGCATCTCTAAAAAATAGAATTCCATGTTTTTTTAACAAATTAATATATTTTTATAAATTAATCTGTCCATAAATGGCTACAAGATAACCATGGCCCTTTTATGAAAACCCACCCCAAAACATTCAGCTCTTACTTTTTGCAACAGGTGCAAAACAGAATGGGTCTAATCTTTTACCAACTTTACGCCATATACATTTTACTACCCTAGTTTGGAATTGCTTAATGACTTTTCATTAGTAAAAAAAAACTTGTCTCCATATTTTAAGTAACCAATCTTTATGTTCTTTGCACCAGTTATATCTTGCAATAATATGGCTATCTTTACAAAAAGGAATAGTATAAGCAATATAAGATATAAACCCAATTTTATGTAAAACACAGGTCATCATTCTTGGATGCATCTTTTGCCCTTCTTCTTTTTCCCATGCTTTACAAAGTTCGTCTTATATAAAATGACGCTGACTATCGAGTATGAAGTTTTTAAGATGTTCTAAACGTTTAGAGTCAAAATAAGATGGATGTCTCACTTTTTTTTCTTATAAATCTCTGTACTAAAATAATATTTAAGAATATTTTCAACAGTCTTATAGTCATATTTAATAACTTTTGCAATTTCACGATTTGAATTACCAAGATGATGGGCAGTAATAATGCCTCCACATTGTTTAGGTGTTAACATTATAGAGTAATTAATATAAAAATAATAGTGTCGATAACATTGGAATAGGAGATATATGATGGTTTATATATTTATGATATAATAATAGAAGCTTTTAATCAAACTACTTAAAAATAATTTAAGTGTTTCCTTTATATCATTTTAACTAATTACCTGCATTATTTTTAAATCTATATGTGATACCTTGAACTTGCCTATACCAATTTATAATTAAAGAACAGAGAGTAAAATTTAATAAGAATTTTAAGAATTACTATCCAGTAACCTAAAATGTGAGTGAAAGAATAAGAAAAAAATAATGCATAGTTAACTGAACAAAAAGTCAGAAGAGAGTGGTTAGGATTACACACCACATGCCACAACCCTGCTCCAAGAATGCAAGTTAGAATCAGAGAAATATTAGTTTATGCGAACACAGCTATATAACAAAGAAAAGACATTAGACTATATCAGTGGTTCATGCAAATACAACTGTATAACAGAAAAGAGACATCAGACTACATGGTTTTTTTAATCAATATAAAAGAAGCAGTAAATGAATCAATTCCAACATTCTTCTCTTTCTACTTGCAATCTCACTTGCTAATTTTCCCAAAAGCATATTATCATTTTAATTTAAACTACTTAGCTCAAATTACTTAGTTCAAATTACTTACAATGTATTCTGTGGGCTTAAAGTTCTTTACTGCTATTTTAATAATTTCTAAAACATCTGATAAAAACTGACTAAACAATGTTTGGGCCGATTCGATTAAGTTTATAATAGATTCAATAAAATCGATAACCTATGTAATTTAAAATCAAGTAACTAATATAAGTATTATACAAATGAATATAGGAATATAGAAAAATAATAGTAGCTTCACTGAAAAATAATTAAAAAAGATTTAGAAGGCCTATTTATATCAAAAAATTGCCAAATATTTAGATATTAGAATATTTTTTATAAGTTGTGTTCTTATAGATATCTCTTAATTGAATTTATTTCTGGTACCTTTGGCTAGCTGGCATAACCAATTATATCTATGCTTTTTGAATACTTACTATATATAGAGCAATTCAGTATATAAGTGAAGTAATATTAATAGAGAATTCTATTGAAATAAATTATTTACATTATATTATAAATAAATTATATACTTAACTTACATACCAGGTAGTTTTTATCAATCACTATATGTATCAGATCACAAGACATTTTAGTAAAAATACTCTGATCAATATGTATAAGTAAAAACTTTATTTCTATTAATATTCTAATGGCTCTGGCTTAGGATATTTTTGCATTATTTATATATTTAAAAACTGGAATCTGGATTAATCTCAACTATTATACCTATTAATTTTTTATACTTATCGAGATCTAAAGTCTAAAATATTCACTATACTAATTAACTTAAATTTTTTTTTGTTTATATATAAAATATATATTAAAAGCCAGAATTTGGGTTTAACTCAAATGCTATACTAATCTAAAATTTATTTATTTACATATAATATATATAAAAGCCATAATTGTAAATTTAATTTAAATATTTTATAATTTACCTTTTAATTATTTTTAATTATTAAATAATTATTAATTTAATTGAATATATTTAATGTAAAATTGTATAAAAAACATTTTTAATTAGAAGACAAAAGTTAGTTATTCTAATAAAATTTTGATATATAAGCAGTTTTTTAAAAAAATCAATATATTTTTGTTTTTTATATATTATATTAATTTTACAAATAATTAAATAATAAAATATATAATATTATTTTTGGGACAGTGTAAATATATTTACAATAAAAAAATAATATAATTATTATATTTAAAATTATGGGATTTAAATTTGAATATAGATAATTTTCATTATTAAAGTTTAGATTAATATTAATAGTAATAATATTTTTTAAAAAATTTTATTAAATAGAGAAATACTTAAGCTTTTAAATAAATATAAATTTATTTGATTCTGATTGATAGTTGATTTTTAAAAAATTTTTTTTGAGTGGGGAAAAAATTTTGTTACCTCTTCTTACACCTTATTATACTGAAGACTATAAACTAGTCTATATTTACTTAAGCGAGCCTGAAGATTATAAACCAGTATCTACTTACTCAGATAGGCCTGAAGATTGTGAACCAACACTAGTCTATTCAGATAGACATGAAGAATGTAAATTAATACCTACTTATTAGGATAAACCCGAAGTTGGTGAAATATATCAAGCCAGTAACAAATCTACCAGGTAAAATAAAACTTTTTCAAAAAAGGATTTTTTTATTTAAAATGTTTTACTTATATTTGTTTGTATTACAGATCTTTTGTATGATTATACTTTAAAAAAGAAAATAGCTTTGCGCAATGTGAATTCTATAAGACAAAGTTAGTATATCAAGATGAAACAACATCAAATCTTAAAAAGCATTTTAAGCAGTATAAGAAAAAGTACCTAAGTAAAAGAATTAGATATAAAAAAACAAGATGGTACTTCAGTTATTGATACAGTATATTAAATAACAATAATGTAAGTTTTGAAAATATGCAATAGTTAAAAAAATACAATTTACTTAAAATATGATTATATTTATTAGGTTAATAATAATCACTATGAACCTTTCAGTAAAGATGAATTAAATAATCTTATCAAGTGATGGATTATTAAATGCAACTGACTATTTCAGATTACTAAAGATACAGAACTTGAATTGATCTTTAAGTATTTAGAACCCTGTGCAACAGGTATAATATTAAATTATAATGCAATATAGTAATAAAATATAAATATTTAAAGAACTTTTTTTTTTTTATAGCTCCTTTAGCCGATCTAATAAGAAGATATATAATATGTGATTTTGAAAAGAAATGTGTGAAGCTTCAAGCAAAGTTACAAAAAATCCCAGAGGCATCACAGTAACTACTGATATTTGGACAACTGATTTATTTAATAAGTTATTTATAGCAGTAACTATATATTATATTGGTAGATCCCATCTCTAGGATCTTGTCGCCCGATTCCACCAGTTCTACGGTTCAGTCCAGTTCAGTTCTGTGTCACTATCAAAGATCCTCACTACTTCCTTACTCGGGATTTGCCAAGCCGGTTCCAGATCTTCAAGTCCTCTCTATCGGTTTTATATAGTTCTGAAAGCCTTATCATGGGTTTGCGCCACCTATACCGGTTTGCATTTCTCTGTATAACCCAAGTATCACACAGATACTTCCAGAACCTTCTAGTGCACGAGGTGCATTGGTGTGACTGGAGTTACAGGTGATAGAACCCGACTTATTGATGAAGATCTGTTACCATGACACAGGTATTTTTGTCCAAAACATCACCAGTGGGATTCGAACTCGGTACCATAGTCAAGCTAGCTTGGGAGTGCAACAACTCTACTACTACTCTAAGTCACCACACTCTATAGAGTTTATTTTAATAAAATATATATATATATATATATAATAAAAAATAAATTAGGAGTGTGGTGGCTTAGTAAAGTAATCTAATTATCACTCTACCAAATGGCAGGTCCAAATCTCACGGATAATGATTTTGAAAAATAAGCCTGTATTATAGTAACGATTATCTGTCAATCAGTTGGGTTCTAGAACCTGTAATCTCAGTAATACTATATTTACATGGGAGCTTTGGCGTATAAAAGGCTGAGAAACTGGAATGATTAAAACCCATTTAGAAAGACCTGAGTAAGGAGTAGCTATGTTCTTTGATGGTACCACAGAAAAAACCCAAATTTAGAAATTAGATCCAAGATTAGAGAACCGAATGACAACAAAATCCTTTAGTGAGAGGATTTACTAACCTAATCACCAATTTAGAAAGTTGGAAATCTGTAAGATGTTACGGAGTACACCAACCTTGGCCAACCAGTGTGAAAAACCAGTAATAAGAGCTCTACTTACCAAGACTTGGAATTATGGAAGTCAGGTGACTGTTAGAAAAATACTAGGCATGTCTAAAGAACTAGCCTACCAAATTGAAGGAAAAGAACATGTGCTGAAAAATCATATACCAAGACAAGACAAGGGCACCAGCATCTAATGCCAAGCCAAGGTTGAATCTTTCAGGTTACTGGTTAGGAATAAGGTAAAGATTAATAAAAAAATAGTAGAAAAAGGAAAAGTCTGAATGTGGATACTGGGATTAGGAGTGAACCTTATAAGGGCAAAAACAGTTAAATGGAAATAATCCCAACTGCAAGTGGGAGCCTCAGCAACTATACAAAACCAGGTTGGCCCAAATAGAATAGGGAAAGCTCTAGTAGGTTTACTTCAAGGATAGCCTGTATATCCGCTCAACGGAGGAATGCAAGCCAGTAATCAGTCGGTACAAACCCAGAATAAGCTGCAAAAAGTCCTAAAACAGGATGCATAATCTAGTAGAATAGGCTGTTGGTAGTTCTCTAGTTAGTATGATATATTTGAAAATAGTTAGAATCAAAGGTATAAATGGATAACTCTCTAGTTAGGTTATAGATACAATATCTAGTGTAGAACCTGTATGCAAACTACTTAAATAGGTACTTAAAAGGTGCATGTGTGGCTAGTTATATCTTTATTGTAACTATAATAACAAATGGTTACTAATAAAGAGTTCTCAGGCTAAAAAGATCACTTTAACACTGAAAAAAAAAAAAATAAAAGATAAATTAAACTTATAAAGTATTGTAAAATTAATAAAAGTAGTTTTAAAATAGAAAAAGATAGTTACAGATATTCCGATTAAAGAAATAGTAGACAATATAATCAAAATATATTATAGTATAGATAAATAAATAGTAAAAATGTAATCAATCTGATTGGTAATAGCACAAATGAAAAGCAAATAGATTGAAGAAATACATAGGAAATACAAAAAAAAGAGGTGAGAAGTAAATGTAAAAGTCTTAGAAGTAGCTACAAATAGGTTTTTAATATAAAGTATATAAATGAGTTACTGCCAACTCTCGACAAGTTAAATAAAAGAAATCTGGGCCTATATCCAACAAATAC